TCAAGGAATGGGCAGAAGACATGAACAGACACTTCTCCAAAGAAGATATACAAATGGCTAACAGACACATGAAAAAATGCTTAACATCACTTGCCGTCAGGGTAATTCAAATCAAAACCACAATGAGATACCACATTTCACCAGTTAGAATGGCTAAAATTAACAAGACAGGGAACAACAAATGTTGGCAAGGATGTGGAGAAAGGGGAACCCTCTTACATTGTTGGTGGGAATGCAAGCTGGTACAGCCACTCTGGAAAGCACTATGATGGTTCCTCAAGATGTTAAAAATAGAGCTACCCTATGACCCAGCAATTGCACTACTGGGTATTTACCCCAAAGATACAGATGTAGTAACAGGAGGGGCACATGCACCCTGCTATTCATAGCAGCAACGTCCACAATAACCAAACTGTGGAAGGAACCAAGATGCCCTTCAACAGATAAATGGATAAAGAAGATGTGGTCTGTATATACAATGGAATTTTACTCAGCCATCAGAAGGATGAACACCTATCATTTGCATCAACATGGATGGAACTGGAGGGGATGATGCTAAGTGAAATAAGTCAAGCAGAGAAAGTCAATTATCATATGGTTTTACTCATATGTGGAACATAAGCAGTAACATGGAGGAGTAAAGGGGAAGGGAGGGAAAAATGAAGTGGGGGAGAATCAGAGAGGGAGACAAACCATGAGAGTCTCTGGACCCTGGGAAACAAACTGAGAGTTGTGGAAAGGGAGGTGGGTGGGGGGATGGGGTAACTGGGTGATGGGTGTTGAGGGGGGCATGTGTTGTGATGAACACTGGGTGTTATACGCAACTAATGAATCATTAAACACTACATCAAAAACAAATGATGTATGGGGCGCCTGGGTAGCTCAGTCGTTAAGTGTCTGCCTTCGGCTCAGGTCATGATCCCAGTGTCCTGGGATCGAGCCCTGCATCGGGCTCTCTGCTCTGCAGGAAGCCTGCTTCTCCCTCTCCCACTCCCCCTGCTTGTGTCCCCTCTCTTGCTGTGTCTCTATCTGTCAAATAAATAAATAAAATCTTTTTTAAAAAATGATGTACTATACAGTGGCTAACTGAACATAATAAAATAAATAAATATATAATAAAAATAAAAAATCTTTAAAAAAACACCAGAGCATCTTGGAGGCTAGAGCAGGTTTCTTAATCTCAGCACTACTGACATGTTGAACTGGAAAATTCTTTGATGTGGGAGCCATCCTGTGTGTTGTGGGATGTTGAGCAGCATCCCTGACCTCCACCCACTAGATAAGCCTGTAACATCCTCCCAAGGCAATGATGACCATCAAAAATGTCTCCAGACACTGACATTCCCTGAGGGACAAAATTGCCCTCTGTTGAGAACTAATGATCTGAGAAGAACCTGATTTGGGGTACCTCTCACCCCCAAAACAAAACTGAAGTCAAGCATACGGATGGTCTGTTCCAAAGAGGCAAGGTTTCCAGCAATAAACATCTACACTGACCCCTGGTTTTCTAGATCTGTTCCCCAGTTCTTATGGTAAAGTAGAATATTAAAACCTTATGCAAATGACATAATACGAAATAGAGCAAAATACTAGGGAATTCTGTAAGCTCCCCCTAAGTAGAGAGAGCTAGAGTAGAGAAAACAAATGTCATGATATGGAAACAGCTCAGATGAGGAACAGGATCTATAGAAAGCTTGTGTGTTTGAACAACTCTTATGCACGGAACGTGCCTCTGTCTCCTGAAGAATCTTGACCGAGTCATAATTAACAAAGTATATGTGAATCCATTAATTATATTTGCAACTGTTATAGCAAAGGAGAGATGCTGAACTAGGAGAGAGAAGAGCATATTCTCCAGGTGGGTTTAATGATTTGGTTTTGTTGATTGCTACCTCTATGACTTCCCCCTTTTGCTTTCTGCTGAAATACGGATTGAGGCTGCCTAGAAACCACCCAACCATGGGAGGAGCATCCCAGATAATTTTCAAGAGGAAGAAATGATTTGGGGCAAATGGCTTCCCTTCTGACCTCCATGTAGTCACCTACCAGATGCCCAAGAGCACACTTGTGATCATTAATATGATTTCTCATTTTAAGATGAGTATGAATATCTTCAGGGGGAAAAAAATGGAGTTCTGGTTTTGGCATGGTTGACGTTGAGGGTAGAACCAAGAAGAGGCAGGTCAGGTGTCCACAGGAAGTGAGGAAGAAGAAAAAGAAGAAAGAAAAAGAAGAAAAAGAAAGGAAAGCTGGAACAAACTTTCTGAGAGGTCTGGAGATGCTGAGGTGAAAAGTTTTCAATGTAGGAGACAAATGTTGATGGGGGAAGGAAATGGGCATATTCAAACTGTGAATTCCGTGCTGGACAAGAAGCATCCCCACGCACGGACAACCTGAGACTTACGTCAGCTCTTCTATGCTGCACACTGGGTGTTTCAGCATCTCACACAGCTGCCTGACATCCGTGTGGGAGAGGCTTGTGCCATGCAGGTTCAGATATTTCAGATGAGGGTTGTGAAGAATGGCCTTATGCAAGTAGGGGCCACTTCCAAGGTGAGAAGCTAATTGTATCTACAAAAGTTGGGGAAAAGGTGGACTCACACCATGGAGTCCAAGCGCAAAGTAAGAACCACCCAACCTCTCCTGCCTGCCACACTTAGGTTCACAACACCGTTAGACACCTGGTTACTCCCACCTATATATTCTCTCTCTCTGGGATTTTCAGACAATGGACAAGCGCAGAAACCCAGCTGCTGGGTCCTCTGCTGTCTCTCCTAGTCCTTGCACGTCTGCATACCACCACACACACTAACAGGGAGGTGAGCCAGACTGATCCCATATTAAATCCTAAGCACCATCAGGATGAGGACACTATGCTTATGTCTCTTTGCATCTGCAGGTCTAGCATGGAGCCTAACATAAAAGGGAGATGCAGTATTTGAATTCATGCAGGAGACTGCACTCCCCAAAGAAAGGATCCATTTGTTTAAACACTATGTTTTTTTTTTCCCTAAAGGACACAATAATAATAACAACAGAAGACCATCTCTGCCATTGTTGAAAAACCAGTTTCCAGGGTTATAGAAAACTGGACTCCAATTTTTGCTTTTCTCCTGGATAATTTTGCAAGGTTGGGCAAATACAGATTAACTTCTTAGTTTCTTCATGAAACAAATAGTATCATGATGGTTACAAAATTAAAATTTAGGGGCGCCTGGGTGGCTCAGTCGGTTAAGCATCTGCCTTGGGCTCAGGTCATGATTCTGGAGTCCTGGGATCGAGCCCTGCAGCGGGCTCCCTGAAGCCGGGAATCTGCTTCTCCCCCAGCTCATGCTCTCTCCCCAGATCATTCTCTCTCTCTTTCTCTCTCAAATAAACAAACAAAATCTTAAAAAAAAAATACAATACCATTGACCATATTCCCCATGTTGCTTCCCTTATTCCTTTGACTTCACTAGAAATCTGTATAATGAGCTTGCTAATCTTTTTTTTAAAAGATTTTATTTATTCGAGAGTGAGTGAGAGAGAGAACACAAGCAGGGGGAGTGGCAGGCAGAGGGAGAAGCAGGTTCCCCCCTGAGCAGGCAGCCCAACATGGGACTTGATCCCAGGACCCCAGGGAACGTAACGTGAGCTGAAGGCAGATGCTTAACCGACTGAGCCACCCAGGCACCCTAGCTTGCTAATCTTTCTTTAAAGTTTTAGGTCCAAACCCTATAAAAATCTAAGTTTATCTTGATGACATTAAGACAAATGGTTTCAAGTTTTTACCTCCCTACTAGGGCAGAAGTAAGCAATTCTGATAGTTTTCCTGAACTTAAACACAACTCCCAAAAGTTATTTACTTTTGTAATCATTTGGCAGTTCTACAATTGAAAGGGTCCCAGTAAGTGCCAGGAAAATTAAGTTAAACAAACTCTGCACAGGGATCCATTACCATTGAAATTGGTAAACTAGTAGGGATAAAGAAGAATCTGAAACACTACCAAAGGATTTTTTTTTAAAGAAATGACCTACAACTGAACAAGAATGAAAATGGTATCAATCTCTGTATCTGCAAGTAAAATGAGTCAGGCAGAGAAAGACAAATACTGTGTGTTTCCACTTTTATGTGGAATCTAAAAACTAACTCCTAGATACAGAGAACAGATTGGTGGTTGTCAGAGGGGTGAAGGGGGTCAAAACATATGAACGTCCAGTTATAAGATAAATAAGTCCTGGGAATATAACGTACAGCATGGTGACTACAGTTGATAATACTGTCTTGTATATTTGAAAGCAGCAAGAGAGTAGATCTTCAAATTCTCTTAAAGTTTTTTTTTTAAAGATTTTATTTATTTATTTGACAGAGAGACACAGCGAGAGAGGGAACACAAGCCGGGGGAGTGGGAGAGGGAGAAGCAGGCTTCCCGCTGAGCAGGGAACCCGATGTGGGGCTCGATCCCAGGTCCCTGGGATCATGACCTGAGCCGAAGGCAGACGCTTAGCAACTGAGACACCCAGGCGTCCCCAAGTTCTTTTTTTTTTTTTTTTAAGATTTTATTTATTTATTTGAGAGAGAGAACATGCGAGCAAGCACGAGCCGGGTGAGGGTCAGAGGGAGAAGCAGGCTCTCTGTTGAGCAGGGAACCCGATGCAGGCCTCAAACCCAGGACTCCAGGATCATGACCTGAGCCAAAGGCAGAGGCTTAACCGTCTGAGCCACCCAGGCACCTCTCTTAAAGTTCTAAAGAAAAAAAATGTGTCACTCTGTGAAGTGAAGCACCAGATCACTTCACAATGTATACATTTATCAAATCATCATGTCATACACCTAAAACTAGTATGGTATTATATGTAAATTATACCTCCATAAAACTAGGGAGAAAATCTCTACTCTACAAAGCTGGATTTGAGAAATAAACCAATAGACTCAAAGAAATAAGGAAAAAACATCTCCAATATTCAATGTGCATTCTCATCATTAAAGGGTACCATGAAAAGGGAGAGGATGTTAGCCTCAAATTTACTCCAACTTTGGACTCATAGAGTCTCTTGGAAAAGCCATTGGACACAATGACGTAGAGAGAACAATGAACTCAGCTGGACAGAACAAGACACAGAAGCATGAATAAGCTAAGAAATCAGTGAAGTGGTCCAAAGTAGCCACACACTCTTCAGTAACAATTTGGTGTTTGGTGATACCTACATGAGAGGTAGCATTGCTATAAGATGGGAGGTGGGTAAGTAACAGAAGAAAGGCCCACACTCTAAAGGCATTCCCGGAGAAAGATACAGATACTTATCGACACAAGATCTTCTGCTTTAAAGGATGATCCTTAAACTATGCAACTGCCACAAACTACCCGTGCCCTCTCTTCATCCAGCAAATCCTGACCTTCCAACCGTGGGCCAAGGTGTGTGGAGGGTATAGCCATGAATGGGATGGTCCCGGACCAGACACTCACAGAACTTAGCATCCCATACTCGAGAGATGCAAGACAAAGGGGAAGACACAATTTCATGACAAAAGCCACAGGATGCAGTTATGGAGTGACTGGGGTGGGGGCTGCTCAGTCTGGGGGAGTGGAAGTCAGAAAAAGCATTTGGAAGTGCTTGCCAAGTGAAAGTCTAGAGAAAGACTGTCCAGAAATGAGGAGAGCCAGAACAAAGTTTCCAAAGCAGAAATGAGCTTGGTCAAGGGCTTGAAAGAGAGTTACTGTCCTCGGGCCACAGCCTGATGTGGAGAATAAACGAGGGGGAAGGAAAGGATCAGACCACATGGCCATGCTCTTCTCTTCACGCCCAGTGGAAATTTTTTTCCTAGTTATGGGAAATCAGGGAAAGGATTTTAAGGTATATGTTATTTTTTAAGATTGCTCTGGCTTGTATATGGAAGAAAGAAAACACACATTGATGGAAGACAAAACAGGATCCAAGATGCTGAGGCAGAGGTGATTGGAGTGACCATCCCAGGTGAGTGGTGTTCGATTCTGGAGGTCAGGTGGCAGCTGCAGAGACTGAGAGAAAGGGATGGATTCCCTGGCTCCCAGAGGGGTTATGGCCCAAGGAATCACAGACAGATTGGTCTGTTCCCAAATACAATTACCTCCCACATTCCTCAAACCCCATGCCTGGACAGAGATTGGATTTGAAGTTCAGGGAATGAGCCAGGCTCCCCATTCTTTACTTATCCTAGCAATTACACTGTTTTTGTGTTTTTTTTAAGATTTCTAGTTATTTATTTGAGAGAGAGAGAGAGAGAGCACAAGCAGAGGGGAGGGGCAGAGGGAGCCCGATGCGGGGCTCAATCCCAGGACCCTGTGACCAGAACCTAAGCCAAAGGCAGACACTTAACAGACTGAGCCACCCAGGCTTCTCTCAATTACACTGTTTTAAAATCACATGTACAGGAGAAGAAAAAGAAGGAATACTATTTCTTGATTCCAAGACATATGGCTAGATATTTCGGAGGACAAATGTCCAAACTCATCATCTCTATCTTGTTTGACCACTTAAAAATGAATCCAGTGATATTAAAGCTAAAGCTAAAGAACTTGGGGTGTCTGGGTGGCTCAGTCGTTAAGCATCTGCCTTCGGCTCAGGTCATGATCCCGGGGTCCTGGGATTGAGCCCCGCATCGGGCTCCCTGCTCAGGTGGGAAGCCTGCTTCTCCCTCTCCCACTCCCCCGGCTTGCGTTCCCTCTCTCGCTGTGTCTCTCTCTATCAAATAAATAAAATCTTTAAAATAAATTAATTAATTAATTAAATAAATAAAGCTAAAGAACTTTAGGTATAATACCAATGACTGGTTTCCACGTACACTGTGAAGAGAAACTCTCTTCCTCATTTTGCAACCTGAGGGAAGACACACACAATTTAATTCATGCCTTCACCTGGATGTCTCAAATTACTCATCTCCTTCATGTGGTCATCACATTGACCGCATCTAAATTCACCAATAAAATTAATTAATTAATTAATTAATTCACCAACAGACTGCTCACTTTTGAGCCCACTCATAACCTCTCCCTTGCTATACTATTCCTCATATCTGGCACTAAAATCCATATGCTAAAAGCCCATTTACGAGCACACCAGTCCCCTACTTTATCTTTAACACATTTCCCAGAAGAAAACAAAAGTTCAATGACCCACATTTTACTCTGTGTGGGGTCTTTATCAGTTCATTTCTCAGTTTCCATATCTGAAATAAAGAACCCATTTTCATAATACAGGGATCCATTCACTCACTCAACAGATATTTAATGAGCCCCTACAAAGTTCTGTGTTTTGCTAGCTGGTGGAGATGTGAGGACAAAGAGGTATCACCTCTCCCACCATGGTGGTGTACTCAACACAGAAACACTGTCCCCAAACCTCCCCTGGCTTCAGTGACCTGCTAGGACCCAAAAGACTTGGCATATAGTTGCACTCATGGCTATGACTGATTACAGTGCAAAGACAGAAAGCAAAATCAGCAAAGGAGGGCGCCTGGGTGGCTCAGTTGGTTAAGCGACTGCCTTCGGCTCAGGTCATGATCCTGGAGTCCCGGGATCGAGTCCCACATCGGGTTCCCTGCTCAGCGGGGAGTCTGCTTCTCCCTCTGACCCTCCCCCCTCTCGTGCTCTCTCTCTCTCATTCTCGCTCTCTCAAATAAATAAATAAAATCTTAAAAAAAAAAAATCAGCAAAGGAAAAAGGCACAAGGGCAAAATCCAGAGGAAACTAGGTGCAAGCTTCCAAGGGTCTTTGCCAATGGAGTCGCCATTGGACGTGCTAAATTCCCCCAGCAACACACCATGACAATGAACGTGAAAAGTCATCTACCAGGGATGCTTGTTGGAGACTCAGCACCCAGGGTGTTTATCGGGATGGTCACAGAGGCACCCACTGCCCAGCGTGAGACAAAATCTCAGACTCACAGAAGGAAAGCAAGTCTTCAGCATAAACCACATTGTTTATGCAGTATGGGAACAGTGAGCCTTTCTTATCAATTATGGTGGTGGGAATTCTCCCCAAAACCCAAGTTCCAACATGCCAGCCAAGGGCCAACCTAGTAAGCAGTCCTTTCTAAGGACAACAGTCTCAGACCTACTATATTAGCTCTTCTGCACAAAGACAGCAACCAATAATTAGATGTGTGATAACTATGACCAAAAAAAGACATATAAAAAGTGCTTTGGGAGCATAGAAAATCTTCCATGAAGAAGTGAGCTTTGGGGCACCTGAGTGGCCCAGTAGGTTAAGTGGCCGACTCTTGATTTCGGCTCAGGTCATAATCCCAGGGTCCTGGGATCGAGCCCCACTTTTGGGCTCCCTGCTCAGCAGGGAGTCTGCTTGAGATTCTCCCTTCCTCAGCCCCTCCCCCCCCCACTCTCTCAAATAAGGAAATAAATCTTTTAAAAAAAGAAGTGAGCTTTGAGCTGAAGGAGGAGTTACATTTAAGCTGAAAGAGATAAACTTCTGGGGGTGAAGAGAAGAGCATGACCCAGGCAAACCCAGATATCCAAAGTACCAGGGAGTAGCTGTGTGCTCCTCTGGGCTTCTGTGTGTGATCTGTATTAAGGTGACAATGAGACAGTTTGAGGATTAAAAGGAAACAATACAGATAAGAAATGTGCCTAAAGCGGCCACCTCTGTGCTAAAGAGCTGTTTTATAAATGCTGCCTAGTCTCTATGTCTATTCTTATTATTTTTCTCCTTCATGAACTTAAGGCTAGTTTCCCATTGGTCCCTTCGTTACCTGGGAAACATCTATTCACCCATCAACATCCCAGCAAGTGTCACCAAATTCCCTCTGTGGCTCTCCAACCACTACATTTAAAACATCTGTTAGAGTCGGGCACCTGGGTGGCTCAGTCGTTAAGCATCTGCCTTCAGCTCAGGTCATGATCCCAGGGTCCTGGGATCGAGCCCCACATCGGGCTCCCTACTCCACGGGAAGCCTGCTTCTCCCTCTCCCACTCCCCCTGCTTGTGTTCCCTCTCTCGGGGTGTCTCTCTGTCAAATAAATAAATAAAATCTTTAAATAAATAAATAAATAAATAAAACATCTGTTAGAGAAAAACCCCAAATGTACCCCCAAACCAAAACACACATGGTCATGTAATCCAAACGTAAGACTGATGTCCCTGAAATGCATACTCTGCTTTAAAAACTTACACTTTCTTCGTGCCAACGTGAACTTGTAGCTTTCTACTAACAGTCTACATGCAAGCGAGCTGGTGCCCTGAGAAGGGGAGTGCTCTCTGGCGCAGAAAACCAAGCACTTCCCCATTAGTGCTTAGAAATTGACCTGTGGTGACTGGGGACTGAGCCCCTTGACCATGTTTCGTTCAACCATTTGCCAACAGTTTGCTTCTTGCTCAATAAAACATTGGTATCAGGGAAAGTGCTCCAAAACTTTTCTTGAGACAGTGGATTGTAGCTCTGTGCTTACACATTGGCCTTTCCAAAAAAGTCAGAGTAGAAAGAATGAAACTCAATTATTTAAATAACGGTTAACATCCAACTTACATGAACTTTTGGAGTTTACAAACAGGCTGAGCCAGAGCCTTACAGAGAATCGCCAGGGAGGCTTCACTGAAATTACAGTTGTCCGAATCTAACATCTGGAAGTTCTTGTTCATGGTGAACACAGAGCAAAGGTCTCACCAAAAGGAGAGCTTCTTACTGAGACTACGGGGAGAACAAAGACTGTGACTCTCCAATGGCTCAAAGCAACTCAACACATTCACAAAACAAGCAGAACGCCATTTTCAGGGCCCCTCAAAGCTGACGCATGGACACCCGTGCCTGAACAAGGAGAGGGGCAGTCAGGTACACTGAGTCAATATGGCCTAGTGGTTAAGGAAATGGGCCCTGATGCCAGAGCAATTGGGATCAAACCCCATCTGAACCACTTACTAGCTATGTGACTCGGGACAAGCTACTCAACTGTATTCAGTCTACACTTCTTCCTCCGTTAGGTGACAATGCTTAGTTGTGGTGTAAATGAAGGTTGGTATTTGGTGATCCACCAGCGAAATGGAGAACTATATCCAAAAATAAGAACATACAGGTATAAAATAAAGTCTTGGGGATGTAATGTATAGCCTGGTGACTGTAGCTAATAATACTGTATTACATATCTGAAAGTTGCTAAGAGAGCAGACCTTAAAAGTTCTTATCATGGGGCACCTGGCTGACTCAGTCAGAAGAGCATGTAACTCTTGATCTTGGGGTCATGAGTTCGAGCCCCACGTGGGGTATAGAGTTCACTTAAAATAAAAAAAAAAGTTCTCATCACAAGAAAAAAAATGCGTAACTATGTGTGGTGACGGCTGTTAACTAGACATATTGTGGTGATCATTTTGCAACATATACAAATACTGAATCATGATGTTGTGCACCTGAAACTCGTATAATGCTATGTGTCAATTATACCTCAATTTAAAAAACTAAAAACCAAAAGTGTGACCATGAAAGGAGATATAAATTTTTTTTGGAGGAGTAAAAATAATCTATTAATAGACTATTAGAACTGAAGGGTGAGTTGGTAATCTGAACCAGCTGGTGAAAAGATACAGGTTAGACCAGCAAAGAGGAGAAGCCCAAGGAAACCACTCACAAGCTTCCAAGAGTCCCTTCCTGATGGATATGCTCAAATGCTGTGGGGGTGGGGGGAAGCATAGTCATGGCAACAATAAAACCTGCTTACCTTTCAACCTCATACTGGCCCCACCAAGTAAGTAAAGTGTCACGCTTCTTTATACAGATAGAAAAACTTAAGAAGTTACTGTTCATGGTGACACAGCTAGCAAATGGCAGAGCCAGAACTCAAAGCAGTCTCTCTGGTTAAAAAAGCCATGGTTGTTTTTTTTTTTAAGTATAAGGATCCATGAAGGATCCACTGGGACCTGAAACAAGCAACAAGTATGGCGTGTGTGGCATGGGGGGTGGGAGAAATTATAGATGGACTCACTTTGTGCTGGATCCAGAGTCATCTGAGAAGACATCTTCTATACACAGGTGAAGTTTCTGCAAATTTTGGCAATGTTTTAGGCAGAATGCAGATATCACCAAGTCTTCTGTGTTACCAATATAAATACTAACTTCCTCAAAGAAATCCATCACTTGTGCTACAAACTCTTTTTCATGGGTCTCAAACAAACTGCTGAACAATTCCTGGAAATTCACCACCTCCTGATCAGAGTTATGCTGACTTAAACTTTTAAGGCATTGGGTTATTTCCTGCTTTATCTCTTTGGCCAGGAGAAAACCAAAGGATGTCTCCAGCATGTTGCTTATTTTTTCAGTTGAAAATGCAAACAAGAATGTTATCATCTGGGACAAGCGGCCTTGGACCTGACTCGTGCTTGCTGTCACAAGCTGGGTCACACTTCCAATGGCCGGGTTAGGACTGTCCTTGGATTCTTTGAGCAGATATAACATGGAGGCACAAAACTGTTGGAGGCACACATGTATGAAGGTAAAGCATTCGCCATTCCTTTGAAGGAGTCTCATGCCCAACCACATCAAGGCATCGGACTCAGATACCCCATTCCTCCTGAGGTCCCCATGGCAAAACACAAACATGTGAGTCCATATTCCCTCTGCAGCCAAGGAACACAGGCCTTTCGGTCGGGCTCTGCTCTGCTTTGGTGGACGGTTCTCATTTCTTGATTTGAATACACTAATAAAAAAGGATGCATACAAAGAAGTGGTGCTTTCAGACACAATCTCAAGGTCTTCTCCTCTCTCCACCTGCCATTTCATACAAGTACAGACCAGCCAGTATTCAACGGGCTTATGACAGAAGAGAAACAGCGGCATATTGCCCCTCACAAAACTGAAGGCTTTCAAGACTTTATTCCTCTCACGGAAGAAATGGTAGAAATACAGCTTCCTTTCATGTTCAGAGAATCCTGAGAGGGTTATGTATTTCGGACACGGCAATAAGAAATAATTTTTTCTCATGCCCACTGTTCCCAATGCAACAAGCAGAGAAGACTCTGGAAGCATTTTTTTCTGCACCAAACTGCTCAGGATAATCTGCATTGGCTGTCGCTGTCTCTGGTTGTCGCACAACTGAGTCATTTGCTCCAAGTCAAATTTCAGCTCCTCAAAGCTATCCATGATGAACAGAATCCTCTCCGGCTGAGAGAAGATGTCCTCGTCTGGCTCTGAAGACTGAGGCCAGTCCCTGGAGATGAGCTCCACTAACCTGGTCTTGGTCATAGCGTTCATTTCACAGCCATTGAGGAAGAAGATAAATGTGAATCTGTCCTTCCAGAGGTTCCCCTCTGCCCATTTCAGCATCACTTTTCTCAAAAGTGTTATTTTTCCGATTCCCTCTGGACCTTGCAAGACCACAGTGGGTAAAGGCTCTCCTGCTGGTGCTTTAGGCAGCATGCAGCTTGTCATACTCACACTTAGTGATTTCTTTGTAGAAATCATTGGGAACCAGAAGGCAGGTTTCCTTTTCCCATAGGAGATGGAATTTTTCCTTCATGTGATTTCTGTATGGGTTGGGTTTCTCTGAGTTCACAGGGAGAAAATACCAGACAATTAAAAAGTGCACTCGTTGACACTCAGAATGACCCTTAGAGATTTACTTGTGCACATATGTAAAGACTACTGCATGTCCACGGATGACCAGTCTTGTTAACTTAGTTTTTGTTAGGACCATAATTTATCTAAAATCATGTCCATGGAGGCACTTGACCAAAACTGGAAGCCTGCCTCAGAGTTATAGGCTACATAGTGTGAATTCCATTCCAAACCAGAAGGGAGGTGGTCTCATCTCCCCAGTAAAAAATCCACAAGCACTATATCATTTACTGAGTGTCTGCCAGGAACCAGGGTTGAGAATGTCCCTACCGATAACCATGTCTTCCATGTCAATAACCCATCAAGACTCATTCTACTCCCACTTTACCAAAAAAGTGTTGGGAGAATGTATCACTTGATTAATTTGCACTAGTGAATAAATATCAGGGTCAGGTGTCTGTCCCACATCTGTCTGACTTGAAACCATAAGCTATTTCTGTTCCACCATGCTGACCGCAGGTTAATTTCAGAAACCGACCCCTGAACCATAATGCATTCAACCTGCCCTTATGATGTACCTTCCATGTTCAAGGCACCACATTACGGGAGGTCAACAAAATTACAAAAGGATCATATGACAAGGATCATACCCTGCACCGGAGAAATATATGCCACACTAGGTGAGGAATTTCTGCATGCCTTCCAAGCAAAGGGCACTAATGGTTTTGTTCAAGGATGTATGACTAGAAAACATTCTTGGGATGTACCAATGGTCCTTCTTCTCTCTGGGGCAAAGGAAGATTTGTTTCTAAAAACAGGTCTTTCTTCCCCCTCTGGAGAAATTCAGAGATGTCTCTCACTCTCTGGAGACATGCTAGGGTAAAAAGCTAGTATCTGTCTCTGGAGGGCAGGGGACAGGGCTGTCAGCAGCCATCACCTAAGATCAGGATCTCTGACTCTCTAGGTTCCTATGACACAGATCTGCCTGAGCTCACCTCCATAGACCCCTGCTGAGAGATTCAAGGGTTAAGAGGAATGGACATGAGCATGAATCTCATGTTCCTGTTGTGGGTGAGCAATGAACCTTCTAAATCCATCTGGGCACATTATGTCCTTTCAGACCAAACTTATGGACATGTGGCAAGCTGACCTAACAGTGGCTTGCTGCTTAGGAACTGCCTAAAAATGGGGAGACACCCCTTAGATGAGCAGGGCACTACCATCCACAGTTCATCACTAGCCCTTGTATGCTCAGAGTTGGCGTGCAATTCCTCCATGACCTCCAAGTCTCCCTCAACCCACAACACACTCTCAATTGATGGAGGATGGCCACTAACTCAATAACATCACCTTCATTCTTATAAGCTCCCAGCAGACCAACCTTCCTCCATAGGTCAATGCCCCTTCACCCTACACTTACTTCTGATCTCCTCCTGAGCCTTTGTCCAGAGGTCACGCCGATTGATCTGTAGAAATAGGTTCAGGGTCACCTCCCATGCCCGCTTTCCTGGGTAATCCTTGTCCAACAACTTCGCTAGATCTTCTCTTGAAGCCTTCTTTAGCTCAGTCCACGGGATTGGCTTGAGGTCAAGTTGCAGAGGCTCTTGCTTGAGGAGCGCCTTAAATTTCCAGAACTCTTCCTTTCTGAGCTCTTCCAGGTACCACAGCGAGCCAAAGTCCGAAAAAAGGGATTCAGTCATCTTGTCCTGGGATTGTGAGCTTGGAAATCTCCAGAGGAAAAAAATCTTCAAAAACAAGGAATAAGTAGTACCTGAGGGAGAATGAATGACGTGATTACAGAGATAAATCTCAGCAGTTGGTAGTGGCTTGGAATTATTGATATCCTGCATTTCCTGCTTAAAACATATCTGGCCAGCTTCACTTCATCCTTCCTCTTTTTCCACAGCCGTACACATGAATTCAGTGCTAGCAACTAAAAATGTAGTTTACACTAAACCAGTTGGCAGGGAGAAGTGTAATTACCTAAAACCATAATAAAGCGTTGAAGTTTATTGCTGGGCCATGGAAGAAGGAGTTAGAACAGTTCTGTCCTAGAGTACCTACCACTGTGTGTATCTCTGGGGATGCTTCTGAGAAAAGCTGACTGTTGACTTGGTGTCATTGTGGGAGCTTCTCTCTAAAATTCAAAAGACCATGTTTACCGAACATTCCTTAAAGGAGAACAGTTTCTGACCTGGCTTCACTAAGTTATGAAGACTTCAAAATTACAGAAACCTGGGGCGCCTGGGTGGCTCAGTGGGTTAAGCGTTTGCCTCCAGCTCAGGTCATGATCTCAGGGTCCCGCATCGGGCTCCCTGTTCAGTGGGGAGTCTGCTTCTCCCTCTGCCCCTCCCCCCTGCTCATGCTCACTTGAGCTCTCTCAAATAAATAAAATCTTTAAAAAATATATCAAAAACCTAAAGCTATGTCTTTGGGGCATGAATGTTTTGCTGAATCCCTGCAAGATAGGAAACAGAGGTGCGCCTGTGTGGCTCAGTCGTTAAGCGTCTGCCTTCGGCTCAGGTCATGATCCCGGGGTCCTGGGATCGAGCCCCGCATCGGGCTCCCTGCTCGGCGGGAAGCCTGCTTCTCCCTCTCCCACTCTGCCTGCTTGCGTTCCCTCTCTCGCTGTCTCTTTCTGTTAAATAAATAAATAAAATCTTTAAAAAAAAAAAAAAGATAGGAAAGAGGGAGCTGTGACTAACGGGGAAAAAAATCCAAATTTCAAAACAAGAGCAGGAAAAGATGAATCCCAGGGCACTCCAGCTTATATACTGTGCTCCTGGACAGAAAGAAGAAACTCTGGACAGCCATCTCAATGATGGGCAAGGAAGTACATTTCAAACAGCACTCAGCACAAAGAGAAAGGATGAAATGTTTAGATACTGTTAATAACTCTAGAAATCCCAACATCCATCTTATTGAAGTTCCAAAAAAAAGAAACAAAAACAAAAAGAACAGAGGGAACAGCAAGAAAGAAAGAAAGAATTCATGGAATTAATCTCTCCAGATCTATCTGAAAAACAGATTTGCATCTTTAGGATAAAAGATTTTGCCAAATGTTTAGGGGAAAATAAAATATTGCATCATATGAACTTCAATTTCAAAGATAAAGAAGAAAAATCTAGAGTCTAGATGAGTACTGCCCAATTGCAATATAGTGTGAACCTTGCTTGTACTTTTAAACTTTTGAGTAGATTCATTAAAATTCTCCCACAAACATGGAGAATTCATTTTAATACTATTTAACCTAGTCTATCTAAAATATCAATTCAACATGTAAACAATATTTTTTTAAGTTTTATTTATTAAGCAATCTCTACCCCCAATGTGGGGCTCGAACTCACAACCCCAAGATCAAAGTTGGATGTTCTTCCAACTGAGCCAGCCATGCACCCCTGTAAACAATATTAAAAAAAAATCAGGGGCGCCTGGGTGGCTCAGTCAGTTAAGCATCTGCCTTCAGCTCAAGTCATGATCCCAGGGTCCTGGGACCGAGCCCCACATCGGGCTCCCTGCTCCGCGGGAAGCCTGCTTCTCCCTCTCCCTCTGCCGTTCCCTCTGCCGTTCCCCCTGCTTGTGCTCTCTCTCTGTGTCAAATAAATAAAATCTTTTTTAAAAATCAACAAAAAGATGCTTTAAATTGTTTCAAATACTTCATTAAATAATTATTTTATTATAAGAAAAAATCAATGAAATATTTTACCTGTTTTTTTAATACTAAGTCTTTAAAAACCATTGAATATCTAAATTGTCATTGGAAATACTCGATCTCTATTTAGATTTCATAAAATATGCAAAAGAAAGGTAAATTTTCCTACCCAAGCTGTCTCATACACACATAAGCTTTCTAGAAACTGAATGGTGGGGGTGTGCCTGGCTGGCTTAGTTGGAGGACCAGGCAACTTTTGATCTCGGGGTCATGAGTTCAAGCCCCACATTGGGTGTAGAGATTACATAAACAAACAAACAAACAAGCAAGCAAACTTTTAAAAAGTTTAGAAAATGAAAACTGAATGTGACTAGTGAAAAAGAACAAGAAAAAAAGGAAAAAAGAAAATGAAAACTGAATAGAGTATCAGTTTTAAAGTTAAAATTTGCATTAATTAAAATTAAAAGTTCAGTTCCTCAGTCTTATGGGACACATTCTAGGTACTTAGTCATCAGCTATCATTCCAGATGATGCAGGTCTAAACTCCCAGAAATGTAAGTCATTTCCTACCAAGAAGGGGTGATATTCAAATTATTTAACAATTTAATTTTTAATAACCACGACACGCACATTCCCAAACAATGCTCTGAATATCATTTTTTGTCTACAAGAGGTTAGGAATTAGTTTGTGAGGACCTTTAATGACAACACTGAATATAAGTGAAGAGTAAACAGAAGAACTCTGCCAAGGATTTAGACAGCTATTGATCAAGGCTTCTCTACCAAGTGACATCTTCCCTTCAAGCATAAAAGTCAACCATTTCGGTCATGAAGAAATTCGTGGTTTTACCACCCAAAAATCTCCTCTGAACAAGCAGAGGATATATTCAAACAAAATAAAATGTTATTAAGGAGGGCATGTGTTGTGATGAGCACTGGGTGTTATATGCAACTGATGAATCGTTGAACACTACATCAAAAACTAATGATGTACTATACGCTGACTAATTGAACGTATAAAAAAAGATAAAAATAAAACGTTAATCAAGAAGTTGGGAAGATACCAGGGGCATTTCTGCCACGACCAGGAACAAAGGTGAGGGTAGCCAGGATGCCCGCTATTGCTACCACCCCTTGACACTGGGTACTACTGGTCTGTAGAACCAAAGAGGTAAGAGACACCGATTGGAAGCACCAAGTTTTGAAAAGAAATAAAATCATCTCTCTGTGCAGATGACATAAGAGTATACCTGGAAAACCCCAGAGATTCAATGATAAAATTCATACTATAAAAAAATTCACTAAAGTGCTAAAAAAGTAGATCTTTAAAAGTTCTCATCGTGGGGCGCCTAGCTGGCTCAGTTGGTAGAGCACGTGACTCTTGATCTCAGGGTCGTGGGTTCCAGCCTCTCACATCGGGTATAGAGCTTACTTTGAAGGAAAAAAAAATTCTCAAGGCAAGAAAAAAATGTTATAACTATGTGTGGTGATGGCTGCTAACTAGACTTAATGTGGTGATCATTTCACAATATATACAAATAGATACAAATATATCAAGTCGTTATGTTGTACACCTAAAATTAATACAATGTCATATATCAATTACATCTCAAATAAAAAAATTTTAATTCACTAAGGTATCAGGATGTACAATTGACACACAGAAATTATTAGCTATCATATAGACAATGCCCAGTTAGAGAATTTAGGGTAGAGAAAATCCCATTTATAATAACAACGGAGAAAATAAAATACTTAGGAATAAGTTTAACAAGATATGTACAAATCCATATGAGGAAAATTTTAAAACACTCAAAATAATGAAGACGACACTGAAAGAAAAAACAGGGGGTAGATATTAAAACATACCTTAATGCACCTGCAATTAAATCCTAGTGGTACTCACAAATGACGAGACAAACAGATCAGTGGAACAAAGAATAAAGTACAGAAATAAACCAATCACATGTGGACATTTAGTAACTGATAAAGCATGCATTTCAAACCACAAGTGCAAAGGCGGACTTTTTGATAAATAGTTCAGACACAATTTGTTAGCCAGCTACAAAGAGCTAACGTGAAATTTCAAACCTCACCCCCTATTCAAGAATAAACTACACATGGATCAGTAATCTAAATGTAAAAAGTGAAACCCTACAAGTATTAAAAAAAAATATGTGAATTATCTTGCAACCTGGGTATAGGAAGAATTTTCCGATTATGACTTATAATCCCATACAATAAAAGTTGGGGTTTTTTTTAAGTTCATATGGAATACAAATAGTGGAGAACAAAGAAGCAAAAATGATAGGGTAACTTCTGTTTAAGTTTGTAGGTATAAAACATCATAAATAAAAAAGCACATAAAGCACACACCTAGTTTTTGAATTTCCAGGAAATCCAGTGTAACCACAACCAGAGCAAGAAATCACATCTTATGAGGCCCTGGCTTTATAACCTCTTCCAAGAGATCACCACTATTTTCATATTTATTTTTAGGAGTTGTGTTTTATAATTTTAAAATATGTATTCCAAACAAGATAGCTTGGTGTCATATGATTATTTTTGGTGAATGGAACAATAAATTCTTTTCTATCTGGTCTCCTTTGGTTGCCATTATATTTGTGAGATTCACCCATGTAGACATAAGTGGTTCATTTGGATTGTTTGTATAGTAGTCCCCCGTCAGTATTCCACTGTTTATTAATGCTGCAGTTGGCTGGCATTTATATGTTTTTCTGGGAATTTTTAGTAACATAAATGCTGCTTCTACGAACAAACTTTCACGTGCACCTTGGTGCAAATAAGCACACATTTCTCTCAGTTTGTAATTTTAGGTCACAGCATATACGGACCATCATGTTTACAACATAATGCCCAACAATTTCCCTTTGTAAATATAATAATTTACATTACCACTAGCATCCTATGAGAGTTTCTTTGCTGTACAATCCTGCCCATACTTAGTAGAGTCTAACCCAATTTCAATAATGGAAAAAATGAACAGACATTAAACTCACCGCTGATCTTATTCTAGAAGATGAAAGT